GGTATTCTTATATTTAAAACAAATATTAATGGAATTATTTTCGTTTATTGTCATTAATATATCTTACCAGTCAAATAATAACATTGCTGTGAAAACACATGTAGAGAACACTATAATTCGACTCTACCAAATCTTGTTTTGCAGACATTAAAGTCTATAATCCTATAAGTTAGAAGTAATGACTTCTCTTAGTGTCATGACAATACTGCTAGCTTCTGCTAGTTATTTACAGAACAGAGGTTTTGTCAACTTGGTTTGTAAATATATTTAAAGTATTTTTTTCAAATACCTATGATATATAATGAATTGTAAAAAAAATCTTTAGGTTTTTCTTTTCTGTCGTCAACTGTAGACAAATAATATTAAACATGATCAACCTCGATATTTATTCTCTACCAGCATTTAACTTTTACGAGCAGTAAAGAAAAAAATAAATATATGGGTGTGTTTGTGTGTGTGGAGAAGTTGAGCATGGTTTCGGTATCATTTGAAATGTACTACGCTCCGTCTTTCTTTATAAGAGTCTACCTAACATACAAAAAGTAGCGACAACATACATCGTGTCGATTTATAAATGCTACAAATTGAATTCGTGTAAAACGTGATTATTTAATCACCAGACTACTGCAATATCTTCTTACGAATCATTTTACGCACTAATTATATTCAATATAATTGCGTATCTGTGATACCTACCATTTTATTAATCACCATTATTAGTCAGTTCTTTGTAGCGATGATCTATAAGTATTAAGCTTCTGATTATGTTTTCAACGAATGTAATATGTCAGATAACTATCTTTTCAATTTGAGAATCTCGAAAAATGAAAATATAGGTATTATAATATATTATTATTATTATTACTCTCCTTAAGAATATTTTAATATCCAGCAGATTATACAGGATTCTTAATATAAAAAATAGTAATAAATATATAGCACTTACATAACAATGACTTAAATTTTATCTACGTTCATTGTTAAGGTTCTATTTAACCTGAATTGCATGCGTTAAATGACATGGGATTTAGTTTTTCTTACTTTATATTTATAATAATGTCGTCCACACCGAATTTTATTAACGGCGAACAGTCTGAACGGAAATTAGCTACTCTCTAACCTTGGTTATGCATATACTAAAGAATTTATTAAATAAAATTATTTTTACGGATTTTATCGCGTTTAATTTACTTATTTTTATTTCCCGACGTCGTAACTTTGATATCGGGACGAGAATCGACAGAGGTTCATTGACGTCCCGATGTCAAAATTAATCCGGAGTACCTTCAGCTTTTTAATTATTAATTTTGAGTCGATCTACGCCATAATGATCTTACTTTGACTTGAGATTTTGCAGTGGTATGCTTTTGTTTAATTTAAATTTTATTATTTACATTTAAAGTAAGTAAATTAAACGCGATAAAATCCATAAAAAACTGTTTTATTCAATGGATAGTTTTCGCGTAAAGAAAGATATTATGAAATAACTAAACTTCAAAATTAAAATAACTAAAATATATTTGTATACTCTACTCTGTTTACAGTTTGTTGGTGTATCGATTCTTTCAATATTCTTTACACATTCAACATGAAAATGGCACAATTCTGCGAAGCCATTCTTTATTTGAATTTCTTTTAGCGCTTATTTATCTATTCCATTGACCTCTTGTACCTTTACAGTCTTTTTTTGGGTCAATAGAATAAAAGAGCGCCAAGTCAGCTAATGTTCTACAAAACGGAAATGTAAAAATTTACTTTGAAGTGTATTTTGTTAAGAAACAAATTTTCGGAATTAATAGATATGCTTGAACTTTTTGACATTTTTTTATTGTTGGCAAACGCTGAGGCTTCCAACGAATATTAGGCTATTGTTCGGTATTCGGCCTATTCGGCTACTTTTATCCTATTCGGTCAAATACCGATTATATGGAAACTATGCGGCCAAATATCGAATACTTAAGTAAGATTTTTGTTGAGAATATAGTATAAGTTAAAGATTACGTTAAAGAGAGAGCATATAGAGTTAAAGTGGGAAATGCTACAAGTATAAAGCAAACCGTCACCCAAGGTACCGCCCAGGGCTCTGTGCTTGGGCCTTTGCATTACTTGACTTATGTAAATAATGTTGTCAATGTCATTAAAAACTGCAAGATCTATCAGTTTGCAGACGATACCTGCTTATTAGCGGCGGAGAACGACATAAATGTGGCATTACAGAAATTGCAAGAGGATTTCACCAACCTTATGAAATGGTCTCACGATGCAGGACTAATTCTGAACGCCACCAAAACAAAATTGATGTAGATTTCGTCCAGTCGAAATAGAGTATCCGTTCCATTAAAACTCATTGCCCACAGCCACCAATGTCTTCATAATAACATGTCTAACCATACTTGTAATTGTAATCATATCGATATAGTAGAACAACAACCTTACCTTGGACTCATAATAGACAGTCGATTTAAATGGACGCACCATATTAATAAAGTGTGTGATAAGTTAAGGGCCATACTTGCCAAATTTTCTATAATTAAATATAAAGTTCCCTATCCTATACTGTTATCCCTTTACAAGGCTCTGGCCGAATCGATAATACATTACGGTTTAAGTAGCTATGGTAGAACCTGTAAATCGCATCTTTATAATATCCATGAATTACAGCTTAGAATCATCAAAACAATTGTCCCACCTAAAATCAAACAACAATATAAGGATAACTACAACAAATTATTTAAATTTTGCGGTATTCTGCCTATTGAAGAAAAACTAAAACTTACCTTACTTGTTGAACAGTTCTTTAATACAAAATTGCAAGTCCTACCAATGTATAAACACCAGCTTAGAAGTATATATAACCCTAAATTAATTATAGCTAAAACACAAAATATATATGGAGATCATCAAAATAAGATCATTATTCCTAAATTAATTAATAAACTACCTAAAACCTTAAGGGAAGATATCAATCCTAAAAATATTAAAAACAAATTAAAAACGTACTTTATGAATCAACTAATATAATAACTAACATAATATGACTAAAACTAATACTATATACTATTTGTATACTATATACTATTATATATGTATACTAATTGTAATATAATTACTATATTTATATTTCAAAAATATAAAAATATTTTTTCCTCTGAACAACCTGTATACTACAACTCATCCTCACGTTATTGTTATAGAAGCGAGCGAACTACCTTCTTACTCTAAATAATATTAAAATGTTTACGCTCAAAAGACTGCGAACTGCAGTGTGCAGAAAAATCTTATATAGGTTTATGTTGCACTGTACTTATGAACTGTGTATAATATGTATTTTTGTTGTTGTAAAATAAATAAAAATAAAAAAGTAGGCCTACTAGATATTCGTTGCTAGTCTAGCACACAGTCCTTGAGATGGCAAATATGGACGTTGCAGTGTACCTATAGACATATTGTCTCAGTCAGTCAGTCAGTCTCATGTCGGTAACAATTTATATTTTTTTTTGTAGGAGAAGGGCGACAAACGTGCACACAGTCCACCTGATGGTAAGTGGTTGCTGTGGCCCATAGACATCTACATCTATCTTCGATTACGAATGAAAATGCAGATGCGTTGTCACCCGTGAGGACTAAGATGGAATGCCTCGGTACTTAAGTTACTAATCAAAAGGCAGAGGCTTTGTCATCCCTTAGGAATTCCATGGAATTAATTTTACCAGAAAAAATATTTGTTCGTTATCCACCAATTGACATTCAATTTAATGGTTACACGTCTAAAATAACTATTAATTGAGTGAAACTTATGAACACGCTTGTTTTTGATGATTATGAATACCTATACCTAGACATATTAGGGTTAACCTATATTTTCAAAAAAGCTTTCCTTTCATGTACCTATTTAATTTAAAAATTGCATACAAGATAAATGACGAATTTTGTGATGTTATAATCATCAACCTAATATTATAATTTACAAAGTTAACATATAACATATTATGTATATATATATATATATATATATATATATAATATATATATATATATATATATATATATATATATATATATATATATATAAGTGTAAAAATATTTTTACTGTAATCTAAATAATTTTATACTCAAAATATAAAATATTCTCGATTTGCTTCGCATCTTATAATATTAAGAAGCTTCGATTGCGGGCTGTGGGTTCAAAACCTGCACGGGACAACTATTTGTATAGCCCACAAATAATAATTGGTTTGTGTCTGGATATTTTGTCCATATGTAACGTATGTTAGTTAAAAAGAGTAAGGTCGTATTTTATAGAAATATCCTGCAAGGAAATATTATTAAGTTAAAAAAAAAAAAGAATTACACAATTAGTTCAGCTGCTTTGCTGTTATCTCTTTAGAGAACACTATAGTCAATGCTATTTATCAAAAATGTACAGCCATACCTTCTAGCGATTAAAGACAAATTACAAAGAGAGACCGAACAAAGGCACTAAAATCAGTATAAAGACTTGCCTACGAGACGCAATTACGAGAGCAATCTGCTCACCTAATAGCTTCACTAGGGGACGCTATGTCACCAAAAATTTGCATGGAATTAGTCCGGCGCACATCTAAAGCGGGGTAACACTTAATATTCTAGTTTGATAAAGTCCCATTTGAGCGAGCAGCTTTCAAGTTGTGGAACTTTAGTACAGTTACCGGTAGGGTGCTTAAGTCGATTCGCGATTGTTAACCGATCGATGCCGAAGGCCGAGCTGACTAAGCCCCGCCTCGTGGGCGGCGCTTTGCCTCTTCGGGAGCCGGCATAAGCGCCGGTAAAAGCGGCGCGTTTGATGTCCTCCCTCCGCGCCACGCGCAAGCGCGAGCCCCGATAACAAACGCACACAAGCTCATAACGCTCCGCGCGCTCTCTCGGACAAGTTGTCAGTTCACAAACCGGTTTGGTGGTGACGACACAGGTACAGTGTTGATACCAAAGTGCTGAGTACAGTGCCCTAGTGTATAGTTCCGATGGATTGTTCCGTTTTGGATATGGAAGACAAGCCTTACAGTGTTGATAGTTCAGACGATATCAATATTGAGGAAGAAGACGAGGAGCATATTGAAGAAAATCACAGTACGTAAACATTTCACTTCGTGTTTTATTTTTCCGTTGGTTATTATTGTTTAATATAATACAACATATTATTTAAGAACACTTAAGAACAACAGAGGTCAATTTAATTTATTAATATTTATTAAATATCAGCTTTTAAATTAAAATATATAAATTTATGCAGTTTAAACCAAAAATGGATTTAAAGTTGATACATCCCTTTTCTACTAAGTGCAATAAAACTCTAATATAAGACCTATGATTTGTTAGTCTAAATTTAATATTTATTTGTACAGGCTATCCTCCAGACTTCCCAATCGAAGCTTTGGTGAAGCTTGAGCGTCCGTCGCCACCTTTGCCGACGCCGCCGCATACGCCCACCGACGACACGCCTCCCGCCGTTGTCATATCTCGACATCAACCGGCTTGGACTCCTACACCTCAAACTTATCCTACCTATCCACGACCAGCGATGCAAACGCCATATCCTTACGAGAAGGTCCCAGTCCCTAACTACTCGCACCCGATGTCAGCTTACATGCAAGCTCAAGTAGCAACGCTACCCCCTTCAGCTCCTTACCATGCCATGCTCGTCAATCAGTGGATCAGAAACGCTGCGCTGTATCATCATTCGTTAAGATACCCAGGGGCCATGGCACATAGATTACCTGGAAGAAATCCACCTCCAATGCGAGCCCCCGGTGTTCCTGGTGCAAGACCAAAGAAGCAGTTCATCTGTAAATACTGCAACCGTCAATTCACGAAGTCATACAATCTACTGATACACGAGAGGACGCATACGGATGAGAGGCCTTATTCCTGTGACATTTGCGGGAAGGCTTTTAGAAGACAGGATCATCTTAGAGATCATAGGTAAGTAACAGTATTTGCTTTTAATTAAGTTTATCCCAATTCTCCAATTATACGTAATTAGTTACTACCTAGTTAAGTTTTATTTCTCAGAGATCGTTTATCAATTCCTTATCATAGTTATTAATTATCTCTAGCTCTACCAATTTAATTTATTTCACGTTTCTAATACCAACAGCGTGATTTAGGGTTTGTTTTACTAAGGTTTTGTAGGCGATAAGGAAATATATAACAAAAACAAAAGTGTAAAACTTTTTGTGAGGTCGCGCAGGCGCACGCGCTCTACAACGACCGGTTTCGTTCTTTACGATCACCGTATCTGTCTTGCTTCGTCGTCGAACAAATTACACGTTATATTTCTTCGCTTTTACGAGACAAACTCATTTTTCCCTTTCAAATTATATCCAGTGCCTAATGTCCTTAACATGGAAACGCCTCAATTTTATTTGAGTCGCATATTGTAATTTCTCATAGACATTTATTAAATACCTTATTTACATTGTAATTGTAAACATTTAGAATGTTTGAATAGCTTATTAGTAAAAGTATGGTGTTATATTATTATTTTTTATCTTTTCCAGGTATATTCACTCTAAAGAGAAACCCTTTAAATGCACTGAATGTGGAAAAGGATTTTGCCAGTCGAGGACGCTAGCAGTACATAAAATTTTACATATGGAAGAATCTCCACATAAATGTCCCGTCTGCAGCAAGAGTTTCAACCAAAGATCTAACTTAAAGACGCATTTACTAACGCACAGTGAAGCGAACAAGCACCATTTAGAACACCTCGAGGGATGCCAAGAAGTTTCGTCAACGAGTCAAGTTGCAGAAAGTCCCCTTCTAGACCTATCACACAAGCCCTCTCCACCGCCAGTACAGCCTTACCATCAACCACATCCAGCCCAACCAAACTCACAGCAATCACCTGTAGAAGGTCCCAAAAGACCACTAGGTTTTTCAATAGAAGATATTATGAAACGCTAATTTTATTAATATTATATAGGCTTAGTTGAAAGTGAACTTGTCCTGCGGTTGTAAAACAGGTTTGAAAATCTGTGTGTATGGACGTCAATGAACTTACCTTACCCAGTCGCAATGACGACATAGAAAATGTGATCAAACTTTGCATCACCGCATATATCATGTTCTAAAAACTGGACTTAGTGAGGGATTTCCTTGTAGTACCTACCTTGTAAGCCAAAGAAATATCTCGAGTTGTTATTTTTCTTAATTTTGTCATAAAAGTATTTATTTCTCGAAATAACGAGTGTCCTGTTTTTTTTACATGTCATATCATCATTGTCTGTAGATAATAGATAGATATTCTGAATTCACTCTTTGTAATTAGTTTAGCTCATAAAACCTTGATCTTCTTTCAACTATAAAAAGACTGAATTACTGTTTATTGTTGTTATGTTTCTTAGAGATTTATTTATTGTGATAGTTTCTGAAATAGGCCTATGTTATGGTTAACTATAGTTACCAAAAAGTATTACCTTCGTTATAAGTTCTTCTATTCCAAAATTTGAGGCTATGTGGACATCGTATCATGTTGGGATTTTAATGTACCTTTTAAATTTAAGTATTAGTACAATTATATTTCTATTGAATAAGGTTTCGCTTTTATAAACTATCTGCGTAAGAAATAGCGGAGCGATATAAGTGAAACTTTAATTAATAGTTTATTTGTAAATATGTAATATAATAAATAATTTGTAAGCATGAGGCTAAATATAAAAAATATAACATAAAGAAAATTACAATTAAAACTATTTTTGTTTTATTTATAACATTCGTAGTATAAATGATGTTCATAAGTAAAAATTAAATATCTGAGTCGACCATAAAGTAAGTAATAATAAGCTGTGATTACGTTACGAGAATAATTACATAGCTTTACTAATTTAACCGGTTAATAATTAAAATAATGTTGAATGCTAATTTCATAACACCTAATAAATAAAATGGTTTGAAAACCATAATGGCAGTATTACCAAAAAGACAGCTTTTAAATACTTACATGTTGTGATTAAAAAGATGGTAAGAAATAGAATTTTATAGAGATTAATTATATATAATAGTAAGTTATAAATATAATTCTAGAACATCACTATTTTTAAAACATTTTTTTTAAATATTTAGCAATAATTCAATAATTTAAAAATATATACGAGAACGTACTATACATACTGCTAAAGAAAATCAAATTACAATTAGGTACTAAAGTAATACCGCAGAATAAATAATAGTTAAAAGAAGTAACACTCAAATTAACTTTATAACGAATTTAAATTTGAACTTAGTAATGATTACCTACTTGATTAGAACCGCCGAAATCGACAATAAATATGAATGCAATCAGTTCTTAACAGTTTAATAGACGGAGTCATTTTATTTTCAAAATGTTGAATTCTATGCATTACTGGAGCTTTTTTCCTTGCATCAAATTTAGCTTTTTATCTACCTACATTGTTATCAGATTTATTAACAAATATTTTTGTTTACTTGCAAGTATTTACCAAAGTAAGCTTTTAGCTACACTTTGCATTAAATTAACTGTATCCGTTAAATTTGAAGCGTGCCTATTCGGCCATTAGAGAGTTGCCTATGGGCGTGTTTGGCGTCACAGATCGTGCGATACAGGCTCAATTATTATAATGATAATGTTACCGAGAAAATTAATTATAATTGCGGGTTGCTCGGTGATGAACAGTTTTCTAAATTCCATACATTTTTGATTAAATTTTGTAATATTTTTCTAAGAGAAAATATAATAAGATAATTTAGTAACTTTTACATTCTTAGTACCTACTTGGGTACTTACCTACAATAGCATATTTGTCACCAAGGATGAATACTTATATTACAAAACAACCCTATCTTTATAAGACTATATTAACAGTATTCATTTATTGACGTGGTATTATAGTTGTAGCATAGATGGGTCGACTCGACAGGGAAAGAACCACGCTCTCATAAAATACCAGCGTTAAATTTCAGCTATATGCTGCTAGGTTTCGTATGGTGAGTGTAGAGAACCGGCGACCCCTTTTTATAGGAAACGAGACATTCCATCCAAGTCTTCAGGGGTGACCACGCATCTGCATTTTGGTTCTCTTAGATGTAGATGTCTATGGACCATCAGGTGGACTGTGTGCTCGTTTGTCACCCTTATTCTATAAAAAATAATATGCTAAATATTTGTCAATAGCAAGAAAATGCTTAGTTATTTAATTTAATTATATAATATTTTAGACACATATTAATAATATTATAACGTCGGAAATATATAATGATAAATTATCATATGTAGTAAATAACGGTAATGTATTTTGTACAGTGTAATAACGAATACAAAACGCGTAAAATTATTATACATTTTTCAGGAATATAGCGCCATCTAGTTACGATTGAGCGAACTAAAAAAATGTCCTTTGTCAAAACAGGATGTCGCTACTGGTTAGACTGCATTTAGTTTCACCATTCGATATTTCGTTTAGGTACATTTGCCTCTCCCAAATTTAGGGACCTAGTAATTTTTTTCTAATTTATTTTATCATTATTCTAGAAAGTCATAATGAATACTATTTTATCGCCTATGATATAACTTAAATTAAGACAGAATAGGTAGTGGCACCCAAGGGGCTAAGCAATGAGTGTAAATTTCACAGTACGCGAGGAGCTTCAGTTCTACCCCGCCTGCCCCAATGATGTACATATATTGCAATTTTGATTGAGAAATTACCACGTGTTTGTCAGTGGAGGAAAACAGAATAGGATCACTCCTTAATGAGCACACAGTTTATGTGATGGTACCTAAGTGGATGATGTGATCTATAGACATCTTCATCTCTCTTCAATTATGAATCAAAATGCATATGCGTTGTCGTCGCTAAAGTAAGATGAAAAGATTCGTCCGAAAAAAGTAATAAAAAATTTAGTAAGATCTCTCTGGAGGAGTCTGTTCTCTAGACTCCTCCAGGGTAAGTGGGAGCATGTCCTTCCTCGTTCGTGCCCATTCATTCGTTATACAACCGTAATATAAAAATAAAACCAGAATAAAAATTGGTTTCCAATATTCATCACTCACTATACCTACATAGGTAGGTACTACTATTTCCATCAGCCAGATTCCCGCGTTAACTTTTTAAATAAAAAAAATGAAATAGCCCTAAGTTCTTTCGATTCCAATATTACGATAACTGTAGCTTTGAAATTTCTGAAAATAGAGATAATCAGCACACAACTCACTCTTTAAAGATGGCAATAAGTACAAAAATACATTAAAGTTGGTAAAAAATTACTTCGCGTACATCCGCTAATTTTTTACCAACTTTAATATAATGAACTTCCGCAAAGTAACAAAAATACATCTACATTTTTTGTATATAAATAAATAAAATTGAAGTGTCTGTTTGTAATGTCAAAATTAAAGCTTTTTACTAAATGCATATGAAAGTAGGTATATACGGTACTAATAACAAAACTACAATCTTTAAAGTTTTTGTCTGTCTGTCCGTCTGTCCGTCTGTTTGTCGGTCTGTTTGTTCCGGCTAATCTCCGAAACGGCTGGACCGATTTTGACGGGATTTTCACTGGCAGATAGCTGATGTCACAAGGAGTAACTTAGGCTACTTTTATTTTCCAAAAAGAAATGGGGTTTTGCGCAAAAAATTAAAACCCCAAAAACACGCGGGCGAAGTCGCGGGGAACAGCTAGTTTTCAAATAAAATAGCCTACAAAAGGCTTTTAAAAAATTTCTATTTTGACAATGCTTGCGAAAATGAGCAAGTTAGGACATTCTCGGTTCTAGTGGCTCTGGAAGGTAGAAACTCAAGCTACGCTACAGATAAAACAGCTCACAAGATAGTTAAAGAATCGTCCTATGTTGGTCTTGGACATATAGGTTCCATGTTTAGGTGAAACTTATAACAAAAAGTGCCAACTCTGTTACTTGTTGAGTGTATGTATAAAATGCGACTGATAAAATAAGGTTTGTGACTATGTAGCCGAAGGGTTAGCCAACCATCACATCTTTCATAATTTCCAACACTTCATTATTTAAGACAAGACTACGAAACGTTTTAGCAGACAAAGTGTATAATATTAATGAATTTTGAATGCACAAAATGTTATATTAAAGTTTGTATGTTTGTCACATGGATATTTATTTATGAATTGTAGTATTGTTAATGTTATTAATTTGACGATGGCTTATAATAGTTAAATAATAGTGATAATATAATAGTAATAATAGTGATAAATAATGTACCGATAGACTTATTAGACTTAGGTACATGTAATTTGAAGATACTTTTATTTGTTGTTAATCTAATGTGATATTTTGTTGTGAATGACATATCTACGTAAATTGATAAAAAAGTAATAAATATATACTACAACATTTTTAATTTTTAATTATTTGAGCTAAACGTGGTCCAAGTAGCTCGCTCATTTTTGGACTCTGCCTACCCCCTCTGGGATTATGTGCATGCCCCTGTGTATGTATTTGAGTCATTGTAACTTAATAAAATTCAACAAACACCGTACAATACTTCCTCTGTTAAAATTTAAATTTAGTGTCGCCTATCAGCTAACATTTGAAGCTGAAATCTGTAAATGAACCATCTCAAGGATTCCAGCATAATAAAACGCAATCGACGTTACTGGCGAATGGAAATTAATCTTCTTTCTGAAAATATAAATGCTATCAAATTCTCTTATTATTAAATGTTTGTATCCATAATAGCACTATTTTTCTCAACCGCTTTTGATAATATAAAACCGTAAGTGGTATGCAACGCTTTGACAGATGGTACAATTTGATGTTGCCAAACGTAGGTATCCGCAATTTGCCAGTCAATGAAAATTGCAACGAATCCCTCACGATTGAGGTCTAATCGCTGACGAAATCGCACAAAATGCCGAAATTTCCCATGACTATTCCGACCGACTGATTCCAATAATCGTTCGACGCTTGAATT